TATATATATATATACTTTTTTTTTTTTTTTGTTGGGGGGGGTCCTTATTCTAATTATAGTATAATATGATTTTGAAGGATCCCTATTCTAATTATAGTATAATAGACCACAAAACCTATTCTAATTATTATAATTGTTATTAAGGCCCCTACATTAACAGGAACGGCGCTCGTCAAACAGACAAAACAAGGTGTGAGCTTGTCACGTGGGTGGCAGCCACGTTTCCTGCTCGCCGGGGCCACAGCAGAGCATTGCCCAGCATTTCAGGTAGGTATAAGTATAGTCACTCAGCAGGGGTTCGCCGCCGAAGATAAGGAGACAAAGAGCTTTGCCTCCGCACCCACTCCCAACGGCATTTCAGCGTATACTCTTTTATAGGCTTCTTCAAGCATGGGGTTCTGAATAGGGTGGTCGCTGGTTGAACTTTGTTCCGAGTGCTTCGAAAGATAGGGATTCGTTTGTCCTCATAGCTTCGGGCCATACGTGGTTAGTGATAAGCCCGGGAAGGCATGCAATTGCTTGCAAGCGTGGGCACGGCAGACTTTAGAGCATCTAAAAAGCCATGTGAACGGGCCGTAAAGTAGCCGTATCCTTAAGCCCTCAAGGTGCGTAGCCTGACAGTCTTTCAGATCCTTCGAACACTCTGATTCGCCCTTCATCTTCTATACTCTATCTTTAGGCTATACTAATACTGTGCTATGCTATGCTATGCTATGCAAAACTAAACTAAACTATACTATCCTATACTACACCATACTATACTACGCTGTATGGTACGATTCGTCGCTTGCCCATGAAAAGCCATCTCTTCCCCTCAAGGCCACGGAAAGGAAGCCTAGGCTTTCCTGGGTTCTTGTTATGGGATTACTTTGGAGCCCAATTGGTAAACTTCAAAAACTTTTTTGGTACATTAAACCCCCTACCGAAAGAAAAGTTTAAACTTTTTTGGGCCAGGGTACTGGGCTTAGAGGGTGATTTCTTTGAGTGACCATAATAAAGCAGCACTATGGATCCCTATTTTGGCAACCTATACTAGATTCCTTAACAAGAACCAAGTCCGGGGTTTTAGCCTGGCACTTACCGACCTGATCTACCTACACCCTTCAACTTGCATTTTTCGCTACCTGTCCTAACCTCCCACCAAAAGATACATACCTACGTGCAGGAACGCACACTGATAGCCAAAAAAGGCTAAAAACATATGGGTGGTTGTCAAAATTATGGTCCCTTTTTGGGTCCTTATTATAGTACGGCACCTAATATTTAGGGTACCCCAAAAGGGACCCTAATTTTGACAACTACCCATATGAGTTATATGCAATGCACAGCAAGGCCCCCTTTTCTAGAAGCACAGGATCCCCCACAATTAATGCCGGAACTTCACTCTTACGTTAGAACCCTATGAAGGCCCCATGAAGTCTAGCTCTGGCACGCCAAGAGGATGAAGACAACTGCTCATGCTCAGACAGAATGCAAATCACCTAAGCCTTGAGCCGAAAACCCGAAAGATCAAGGAAACATAGAGGTCTGAGCATCTAGTAATACAGCCCTTACAGGCCCAAACCCAATTCTATTCTAGTTGTCAAAAGCTCCAAGCCTCTAAACCCTAAACCCTAAACCCTAAACCCTAAACCCTAAACCCTAAACCGCCTCATGCTCCCGCAATGGTTGGCCTCGGATTCCTGGTCCTCGGCAGCATCGGACGAGCATCGTATGGAGCCGACTTTCCCTCGCTCCTCGCGCGGGGCTCATGGCTTCGGGATACTTTCGGTTGTGGGGTTACCCAAAGGCCCCATAGCAGTTCCTTTTTGGGATTACCTTATAGGATTCTACATATGAACCCCAAAAACGAACTTGTATGGGGCCTATGGGTAGGGTACAGCCTTAGGGTGACAGAGGGTTCACCAATTTCGACTCTTGGCAGTTCGAGCCAAGATCATGTGTGTGTGTGTGATGTGCAAGATTGTGCACACTTCGGTCCGGGCTAGCTCTTGAGAGGCTAGTCACTAAACATCCATGGAGACCAGGTGCAAAAAAAGGTGCCTTTCACGGTTTGAGGTCTGGGTGCTAATATTTACTGCCTGTAGGGTATAGGCTAAGATTCAGGCTTGCGGGCGTAGGCTTTCCGGTTTAGGGCCTGTTTCGGGTTGAGTGATTGACGTCTGCTTTCGAGTCGAGGTTTTAGAACTCTCGCAGGATGTCAGGGCCACAGGTTTTCGAGTTCCGGTTTGGGGTTGTGGACCTTTCCGAGGTACGGGTTCAGGGTTTAATTTAGGGGAAAAGGGGAGTTCAGGGTTTAGCACATTCGCACCTGCCACAAATGTTTAGGGTTTAGGGGGAAAGGGGCCAGTTTAGGGTTTAGGGTTTGGCATATTTGTACCTGCCACAAATGTCCGGCACGAGGTGGCTATGCTCGCACGGGATGAGGAGGCCCTCCTGAAGAAGCACTTGCCAGCTTGGAAGCAGGCCGTGGGTTTAGGGTTTCATCAGGGTTTATACTATAATGTAGATTTTCTTAAGTCGGTTTTTAGAACCGGGTGTTGTAGGGCTTAACAGTTTAACATCGGAACCCTACTAGATGAGGAGTGCTGCGGGGCGGGGCTCCTCGGGATACTCTTGCCCAGCTTTCGCGGTTTAGGGTTCAGGCCGATGTAGGCCCAGGTGCAGGTTCTGGGTTTAGGGGCAGGGGATGAAGGGATCAGGGATTTCGGGGTCTAATATAGGGGGCCTAAATAATGACCAATGCTATTATTATTATTATTATTCTATTTTTTTTTGGGGGGGGGGTCCTTATTACAAACATAGTCCCTATTCTAATTATTAAGGCCCTTGTATCAGGACTTTCGACCGAGATAGGGGACAGCTTATCCTAAGATGCGTCAGTGCTTTGGCCCTGAAATAAAATCCTGATTCCCTTGAATTGTTTTGATATTTGACAGAAAGCCCCGCGAGACTTGTTGAGAGCTTTCGCAGTAGTTCGTAATATTTGCGGTGTCCTCGACTCCAGTGGCTTTCTCTCTTGTCCAGGCCCAGCAAGGCAGGATAAACCATGACTTGATTCAGGATGTAGTAGTCGAGTTCCACCTCTAAGCCCTAAAAGTCCTAAGCCCTTAGCCCTAAACCCCTAAGCCCTAAGCCCTACCCTAAAAGCCCTAAGCCCTTAGCCCTAAACCCCTAA